GGGACAGTCAGGTCCAAACTGATCTAGTATGTGGGAAATAAGCAAGTAGGAGTGAAAGCATTGATTCTGGCAAATTCCCCAGGCCAAAATCCAAGTACAGGCCCATTTAAAAGTAGACCAGAGTTGCAGAGGCAGAATTTCCTTCTTAACTTTCAGATAATTAATTGCTAGCAGTGCTGAATCTTAAACAGGAAGTTCAACTACCAAAGACATTTCAATAATAGAATTATGAAAACAAGCATTTTCCTAATATGAAGTGTTATATGCAAAGCACCAGCACCATAATAAGTAAAGATATTGGAATTAACTAGGCCTTCATACAACACATATTAGTTGTATGAATGCCAGCAAATCACTTAACCACGCTAACCTCAGTGGCCATATCCATAAAATGAGAAAAAATGCCATCTCTGGTTGTAACTATGTCTTTTGTAAGCAGGACTCTTTACTAACTCACCATGAATTCAAAGAAAAATAAATGTTCCTGATTCCTCTAGGCAAAACATTTATACAGAGAAAAACAAATTCAAATAAGCTATCAATGGAGATCTGTTCAGTAAAATATAGCTGTGATAAATGGACACCTTGTCTTGCTTGAAAACTGTACTTCGGAAAAGAAACAAAGCCAGAATTCTTAAATTTTGACACCAGATCATTACTTTTCTTGAATGTTACTTCCATTTTCCATACTTTCACAGATACAGCAGATAAATGCAATTAATGCTTGCAGTTTATTAAACCAAATTGCAGGGTAATAGAAAACAAAACAAAACAGACTAATTTGCTTCCCTTTCCTAACCTTCAGTCTTATAGATTGCACTTAAACATTTCTAGTTCACTCTTTTCTTGAGTTATGTGTGCAGGGAGGTTGTATAAGGTTCATATATGAGTCACCTGACGTTTATTCAGTGTTCCCATATGCTAGAAACAAGAACATTTCCACTGAAATGGAGAAGAAGATTAGTAATGACTTTTTCAGCATTGAATGGTGTGGTAGGCTAAAATAATGGTCTTATAAGAATGTCCACATTCCTAATCCCTAGATCCTGTGTATATGCCACTTTCCATAGCAAAAGAGGGCTTTGCAGATGTGATTAAAGATTTTGAGATGAGGAGATTATCCTGGATTATCTGGTTGGGTCCAGTGTAATCATAAGAGTCCTAGTAATAGGGACCCTGGAGGGTCAGAATGAGCAAAGGAGATGTAATGTTAGAAGCAGAGGCCACAGCGATGCCATTGCTGGAAGGGGCTATGAACCTGGAATGTGGGCAGTCTCCAGAGGCCGCAAAGGACAAGGAACAAATTCTCCTTTAGAGCCTCTAGAAGGAGAACAGTCCTGCTGACACCTTGGTTTCAACGTAGAAGACCAAATTTCAAACTTCTGACCTCCAGAACTATAAGGTTTGTATTGTTTTAAGCCACTAAGTTTGTGGTGATTTGGCCAGGCACAGTGGCTCACACCTGTAATCCCAGCACTTTGGGAGGCCGAGGCGAGTGGATCACTTGATGTCAGGAGTTCAAGACCAACCTGGCCAACATGCTGAAACCCCATCTCTACTAAAAATACAAAAATTAGCTAAGTCTGGTGGCATGAGCCTGTAATCCCAGCTACTTGGGAGGCTGAGGTGGGAGAATCCCTTGAACCCGAGGGGCAGAGGTTACAGTGAGTTAAGACTGCACCACTGCACTCCAGTCTGGGAGACAAAGCAAGACTCTGTCTCAAAAAAAAAAAGAAAAGAAAAGAAAAGAAAAGTTTGTAGTGATTTGTTATGCCAGCAATAGGAAATGAATACAAACAGTAATCCTGAAATACTGATAATCTTTAAAGCAGAAGGTGTAGGGGGTAGCTAGTCCAGACGGGTGGATGCTGAAAATTTAGAGCAGTAGAAGCTGCTTGCCTGGTTGATACTGGACCTGCCAGGTAAGAAAACCTCCCCCCATCATCAAGTTCTTCATCAGCTCCATGAGCTTATTCTTTTGACAACCTTCACCCTATTCATGGAAATACATTTGAAAGCTGGTGGCCAAATCAGCTTTTTGTAAAGCCAGGGTAGTCACAGAAAATTTGCCATTCCAGAGCCAACCATGGTCTGTCCAAACGGTTTAACCAATGACTTTGGCAGCAGTCACGTGACAGCCCCAGTGGGTGGGGGGAACCTTCCTACTGAGCTACAGAGGTGCAGATGATGTGTAGCTAGAAGTAGAGCATATCTAACTTTGAGAACTAAAATACCAAGTCCCTTGTCTTCTGTGGGTAAATTGAGCAAGTAGCCAGCTTCAGAAACAACTCATAAACTGAGTCACCTACAAAACTCTACTAAAATAAAGTAAAAGCATAGATTTTTGGAATTAAACAGTTCCAGGCTATATTGCTTTCTTAGCTGTGTGTGTCACTCTGGGCAAATTATTTAATCTTTCTAAAGCTTAATTTCCTTTTCTTAAAAATGAGTATAACAGCAATTACCTCATAGGGCTGTAAGGGTTAGGCAAATTAAGTATTCAAAGAGATTAGCACACAATTAAAACTTAATAAATGTTGTCAATTATAGTTAATTTTTATTCTTTCAATCCCCTACCCACCATGTAGAGCAGCCAATGCATATCTCTGCCTTAGCATCTGTCTGTTCAAATTATAAATAATAAGAATGTAAAGCCTTCAAAGGCATAGACCCAATCTCACTGCATTCATTGTTTTATTCTTAGCATCTAGCACAGTGTCTGGCCTGTTTGGGGCTCTCAAAAAAAAATTTTTTTTTTTTTTGAGACGGAGTCTTGCTCTTTCTCCCAGGCTGGAGTGGAGTGGGGCGATCTCAGCTCACTGCCACCTCCACATTTCAGGTTCAAGGGATTCTCCTGCCTCAGCCTCCTGAGTAACTGGGACTACAGATGCATGCCACCACAACCAGCTAACTTTTGTATTTTAGTAGAAATGGGGTCTCAGTATTTTGGCCAGGCTGGTCTCGAACTTCTGACCTCAAGTAATCCACCTGCCTAGGCCTCCCAAAGTGCTGGAACAACAGGTGTGAGCCATTGCCTCTGCCCTCAAATTTTTAATAAGTGTTTATGAACTGATCTGATCTGTGAATTAGGAAGGATCTGAGATGGCAGCCATGATCTGTGATTATAGGATTTTTCCAACTGTGAACCATTTGATGGAGAACTAAATTCAGTGAATCAGCGCCAACATTTTATTTTTAAAGAAAAAGAATAGAATAGCAAATATCAGAGTGCAAAACATGTAATAGTTACCTATTGTTACAAGAAACTTCTGTTTGTTACATATGTAAGTGTACTTGGTTGCAATGTAAATATATTACTTATGGTGGGTAGAGGTAAACAAAAAATAATGTGAACATTCTGAATGTTCCACTTTGCCAGTATTTGTTCTTTTCTGTCTTTTTAATTTCAGCCATTCTGATATGTATACAGCAGCATGGTGTTGAGGTTCTAATTTGCATTTCCTTGATGACTAGTGATGTGGAGCACCTTTTCACACGTTCCCCCCTTTGGATGCCCTCTTTAGAAATCTCTATTGTAATCACTTTAAAAAAACAATCTGGCAGTATTTACTAAATCTGAACATGCATTTCCTATGCCCCAGAAATCATACTTCTACTTACTTACTCAACAGAAATGTATACATACATTCACCAAAAAACCTGTACAGAAACGTTCATAGCAACACCGTTTATAATAGCTCCAAATTGGAAACTGTTCAAAGGCCTATTAAGAATAGAATGGACATCAAAAAAAGATTACTTAGGAGAAAAAAATATAAAGAAAGAAAAGAAAAAAAAGAATAGAATGGACAAATAAATTTGATATATTTATACATAATAGAAGCCTATTTAAAAGCAAGAATAAATGAACAACAATACCATATAACAGTATAGAACTCCAAAAGCATAAGATTGAGTGAAAGAAGCCACATACGAAAGAGTGCATGGCGTATAATTTCATTTACATAAAGTTCAATCTACGAAAAATTACTCTATGGTGTTAAAAATTATGATAATGGTTATCCTTGGAGTCATCAGGAGGGCTTGGGGATACTGGTAATGTTCCCTTTCTCTACCTGAATGCCCAACCCAAGAGTATATTCAGTTTGTCAAATTAATTGGACTGTAAATATATAATTTGTGATTTTTTTCCAAATCATTTCTGAATGTCTGAAATTGTTACATGTAAATATAAAGTTTTTAAAACTTAATAAATAATACCTTTTTCTTCAAGTACGAAAAACACTAACAGAGAACAAAAAGCCCTGATACACTCACTCGCATCACCATCAAGTGGTCATCTAGCCTGAGTAACTCCAGGGTCAGCAATCTCGTTACTGCCCAGGCAGCTCACTTGTTAGAAAGCATTTTCTTTACACTGAGCCGTAACTTGCCTCGTTGCAAGTGGCTTGCATCAACCAGTTGTTCTGTCCTCCTAAAAGATTCTAAAGTGATCCAATCCCTCTACCACCAGCAGCTCTTCGCAAATTTGATGGAAGCTACATCCTCCCACTCCCAGTCATCCTATCTCCAGACTCAGGAGTCCCGGGTCCTTTGGGCATCCCTCAAGGCATGGCTTTGAGTTTCTCTTGATTGTATTTATTTTATCTAATGATCAGCAGAACTAAGCACCATCAACTAGAGAGGCTCAAGAAGAGCAGAAAGGAGCCAAAAGTAGAATCATCACTTGTAAATCTAGACAGCATACTTCTGTCAACACACCCTAAGCTTCCATTTACTTCTTCTAGAATATTCACACCATACCATTGACTGCTGTTGAGCTTAACAATCAACTAAAAGCACCCAAGTCTTTTGCCTAAGCCCCAGATTCGCCTTCTGTGTTAGCACAGTCTTCACTCAGGAGTCAGAGCACTCATTTGGCCCCACCCCAGTTCTCCAAAGCTAAATCCTGCAGACGGAAGCGTATCTGTTATAGAGACACCTCTGGAATAGTCTCCCTACCCTCCTGCCCACTAAAAACCAGAAAGGAAGCCTTTGTCTCAATACATGGTGTTTTATTCTTACCCCTTCTTGAATGGGTCTTCATTTTAAAGTGTATCTGGGGGGAAGGACTGGAAGAAAACTCAGTTTCACGGGCCAGGTCTAAAATCTGACCTAAAAGCCAACTGTTGCCTGACCTCAACAAGGCCTGAGAGTGTAGGGTGCCCTGATCTCTTTCCTTCTCCATTCCTCTCCCAAGTGGGCTCCAACTGGAGGTTATGGAGATGAGTACTGCTGGGCTCTGCTCGCTCAGTCCTTGGCCTTTGTGTGAGTAGTGACAGATGAAGCTGAGAAGGAAAACGTGGCAGGGTGAGAATAAATAAACCTGATGTTGTTCCAAAGCATCTGACATCAAACATACCTCTCAAGAAGACGCACTGGAATCCCTCTCGCCACACGAAAAGACAGAGAAACATTTCTACAGAAAGTTCCAGGCAGCCTCCCTGGGTATTTTTAACACAGGATTCGGTGGAAGGGAGATTCGTTAAGCAAGGGAAACCCCGGAAAACAGAACATGTGCAGAAGGACCCAGAGAGGTGGGCCGGGAAGCAGGCAGGGCGAGGCGACAGAAAAGGGAAGCCGACACGGGGCCTGGTGGTGAGGGGCGACCTCTCCTTGAGGGCGCTGGGGAGGGAAGGAGGAGGACCACCGCCACGTCCGGGGTGCCGCGCGAAGGAAGCAGCCCACCTACCTCGCCCACGTCTGCTCCATTTTCCAGGCTCCTTCCTCGGTCTCCGGGCGCTCCTCACCCGGGAGGGGAAGCAGCCTGGGAAAATGAGAAGCCTTGCCCGCGAGTCTCCAGCGCACACAGCAGCCGCTTTTCCCTCCCCAGCTCCTTCCCCCTGCGTCGGCGGCGAAGAGAGCGCTCCGCCGTCTGCTTTTCTGGCAGACGGATTGGACGTGGCCGAACCTGCGGCTGGCCGTGCGCGCGGCACCGGGGAGGGACCGGTCTCGGCGGCAGGCTGGAGCGGAGCGGCGCGGCGCCCTGGGCGGCTTCGGACGCTGCAGCCGGCGGCGCTGCGCGCACTCTCCGGGCTGGGACGCACTGGCTGGCACGAGCCCCGGCCCGGCGGAGCTGTCACCGCGAACGGAGGCGGGGCTCCCGGGGCCCGCGTGCTGGGGCAGAACCGCCCAGGCCGCGCGCCGCCCGAACCGCCCTCGCGTCTGCCCGGCCGCTCTTTCGCTGGCTCGGACGAATGATGACGGCAGAGGGCAGACCGCTTAGAGGACGCCGTGCCAAGCCCCGTCCCTCGCGCATCCCAGCGAAGGGCTTGGAATAAAACCAGCCAACTACAGGGAGAATTTGGAGAGGAGGTCTTCCTGTGTGCCGGCATCGCCCCACCCACAGGTAACCCCAGAGCCAGAGATGGAGTCTAGGAAGGTTCGGGAGCAATGCCAGCTGAATGCATGTGTACACCCCAGGTGGTCGTGGAACAGAATGTTATCTTCCTAGGGATGTGACATGACCGTTCTTCAGGAAGGGAAGCATCCCAACAAAACCTTACAGCCTTATTAGCTGCCTGCATCTCAGACACCTGTTTTACGGTATTCTAACTCCTGGTTTTTCAGTTTCGCCAGCAACTGGGCTCTACCAATAGCTTCAAGGAAGGAGAAGCTTCCTGATTCCCAGAACACGAGAGAAGCCTCAAGGCAGCAGTCATCAGGACCTACACTCTCCCTTGTGACTGTTTTAAGATCACGGAAAAGGACTTTTTGGAGATGGCATTGCCTCAGACCCTGTACCATGTACTTATGCATCAGGGTTTAAACAAGGCAGACATACTATAATTAGAGTGCTTGCTGCCCTGAAGCTCCTTTTGAGCTCTAAAATAAGACCGTTTTATTAAATGACATAATTACTGTTATTACTACCATTATCACTGACCTTTTTTTTTAATTTGCAAAAGGTTGTATAGTGCCCACATATGGCAATGTTGATTTCATTCTACTTGTTTCAAAGATGCTAAATTTGAGACCCAAAAAGGCCCGAAGTCTCTGCGAAGGTTCTGATACAGACTGTGTTCTCCACTGGATGGCCCCAAAGATATGTTGCTGAATTTCTAAAGATACAACCCACAGGACTTCTCCAGAATGAATTTATTCTTTCAGGCTTCCTAGGCATTTAACTCAGGAAGAACCTGGCATGCCTGGGTATCGGTGAGACTGTGGCAGTCTGTGTTCTTGGGGCAACCTGTCATCTTGTCTCTTAGCTCTTAGATAAGTTCCCCTACATACCAATACAAAGTAGTGGTGGGGAGGAGGGGATAACAAGACATTTGAAGGTTTAGCGGAACTGTCTAAAAGGCCCCTAGTCTAGGCTCCTCCAACACGTGGTTTATTGGTAGGACCACACTGCTCCCAAGCTCAGAATGTCACCAGGAAAAATTTCAAGGTCCAGTTTGATCTTAGACAAGGCTCACAGGCCACCTATCTTGAAAAGAATATCCTGTTGCCTCTGAGGGGGAAGAAAAAAGGCAGGGAGAGTCATATTTCCATCCTTCATACCAAAGTTGGGGCTATATTTAGCTTTGTCTCAAATTAAATTATGGGCTACCGAGTTGTGGAGAGGAACTCTATCTACAGACAGCTGTGCATTGCATTCAAAAAATGATAGCATTAACTAGGTGAGCTGTGGGGTTTCAGAAAAGACACTACAAAATATGCTTATGTATTTTTAAAAGAACTTTTTTCAAAAGTTTATAACATATTCATTATAAAAAACACTTGAAAAATACAGAAAGGTATATAGATTACTCAGAATACCCAGGGATCTTCAATATTAAAAATGTGTTACATTTTTTTCCACTCTTTAAAAAAAATGCATCTTTTAATCCAAACACCAACTCTTTCTTACACACATGGGTGTATTCTTAAGGAGGGAAATTTCTTTGTTGTTTTGAAAATGATATTTATTGTCAAAAGAACAATTTTTTGTGTTAGATTTCAGAAGAAAAATATTTACCCATATAACCACTGCTGCAGCACAAATGTTTAAATTTCTCCATATTCCCTTTAGTCATTAACTGTATATATTAAATATCTGTTTACATAACTACGATTACAGCTTAGATATAAGTTTATATTCTCTGTTTTTTGCTTAGTAAATATTTGTCCATATTGTTAAGGAAAGTTCATGGTAATTAGCTTAATGATTGTACAATATTTTATAATATTAGTAGAACCATAGATTACTTAAAATATTCTATTATTGGGCCGGGCGCGGTGGCTCAAGCCTGTAATCCCAGCACTTTGGGAGGCCGAGGCGGGTGGATCACGAGGTCAAGAGATCGAGACCATCCTGGTCAACATGGTGAAACCCCGTCTCTACTAAAAATACAAAAAATTAGCTGGGCATGGTGGCACATGCCTGTAATCCCAGCGACTCAGGAGGTTGAGGCAGGAGAATTGCCTGAACCCAGGAGGCGGAGGTTGCGGTGAGCCGAGATCGCGCCATTGCACTCCAGCCTGGGTAACAAGAGCGAAACTCCGTCTCAAAAAAAAAAAAATTCTATTATTGCATAGTTATGCTGTTTCTAATATTTGACTCATACATAATGCCTCAATGAAGAGCTTTCTTCCTTATCATTCTATTCTTTTGAATTATGCCATGGTTTGAATGTACATATGCCTCCAAAATTCATACATTGGTACTTAATACCCAGTGTGATAGTATTAAAAGGTGAGGCCTTTTAGGAAGTGATAAGGCATGAGCACTCCACTCTCATGAATGGGATTAGGGCTCCTATAAAAGAGGTTGAAGGGATTATTCTGGTCCCTTTTGTCCTCTGTCCCTCCAGCCATGTGAGGACACAGCGTCTATTCCCTCCAGAGGATGTGGCAACAAGGTACCATCTTGGGAGCAGAAAGCAAGGTCTTCCAGACACTGAATCTGCCAGCACCTTGATCTTGGCTCAGTCTTCAGCACTGTGAGAAATAAATTTCTATTATTTATAAATTATCCAGTCTAAGGTATTTTGTTATAGTGGCAGGAATGGACCAAAGACTATTTTCCTGGGATAAAAGGACTTTCTAATTTTATTATCTTAGCCTCAAAAGCAGTAGAAATTCTCCTTTTAATTATTTTCCTTATTTAATATGTAAATAATTGGATAGTTATATTTTAGATCCAAAGATAAAAATTTTAAAAAGAAAAAAATATTTTAGATCTATATCTAGCTACTATATAAATAATGTAACACCATCTCATTTTACTTTACATTTCTTAGCATACTGACTAGTAAGGTCCTATTTCATATCTTTTCATGCAGACCATATCTGTAGTAGCTGGTCTCATGAAATCCTTGTGTTGGATCACCGTATTAGTCATCTTTTTGCTGAAACCATGGTGCTTAACAAAGAACTCCCCAGTCTCAGTATTATACAACATACATCCATTTCTCCCTCAAGAATCTATAGTTTAGATATGGATTGGTTGGGCATGGGTCCCATTTGATCCATAACTAAAGAAGGTTATCTGCAATTATCTTCTCATGGCAGAGTGCAGGAGTGCAAGAGAGTTGGCAGAGACTCATGATGTCTGTTGAGGTCTCTGCTCAGAACTGGCATCCTCTCCCTTCTGCCATTTTCCATTCACCAAAGTAAGTAATATGGCCAAGTCCAAAGTCATTGGTGCAGAACAGTTCAGTCTGCCCACAGAGTGCAGAAGGCGGGGATAAATATTTGTGGAAAAATAATGCAATCTGTCAGTCACTATATGTAATGCTTTCTGGCTTTTTGCTAAGCTTTTCTCCTCATGGATACAGGGTAACTTTATTCTTCCTCATCCCATCTTAACTTAGCTATGGCTTTTGAGCAAGGAAATATAACTTGTTTCCGTGGCTGAAATGTGTGAGGAAGTCTCATGTGGTCACTTCCAAGAAGAATGCAGACGTCTTTTTTTTGTTTGTTTGTTTGTTTTTTGAGACTGAGTTTCGCTCTTGTTACCCAGGCTGGAGTGCAATGGCGCGATCTCGGCTCACCGCAACCTCCGCCTCCTGGGTTCAGGCAATTCTCCTGCCTCAACCTCCTGAGTAGCTGGGATTACAGGCACGTGCCACCATGCCCAGCTAATTTTTGTATTTTTAGTAGAGACGGGGTTTCACCATGTTGACCAGGATGGTCTCGATCTCTTGACCTCGTGATCCACCCGCCTCGGCCTCCCAAAGTGCTGGGATTACAGGCTTGAGCCACCGCGCCCGGTGAATGCAGACATTTTTAAGAGCCAATACAAAATTGGCCCTTTTCAGTTTCCACTGTTTTATTGATCCTTGAAGATCAATACATGTAAGATGAAGCTTTCCTTAGCCTAGGTCTCTGAGTTACTGTGATGGTCAAAGCCTTCCTGCTAAGCCAAATAGAACATGTGGAATGAGCAAGAAATTCATTTTTGGTAGTAAGTTAGTGAGATTTGGTGATTATTTATTACTGAAGCATAACCTGGCCTACCCTGACACATTGCATTTTATTCCCATTTTGCAACCGAGGATTGTTATGTGTGTATCTACTCTCAGTTTTCTGGCTTAGAACGGAAATAATATGGGTAAATGATGTTGATGAATAAAACTATTCATGTTATTCTTTCCTGAGTGCACCACTCTTAGTTTGGTCAACTTCTTGTGCTTCAGGGAATACCTGAATTGATGATAAGGGACAAAAAATCAGAAGGTGTCACAGTCTTTATACTCAGCTCCAAATATTCCAATGATACTTTCACCTTTCATTCAGATTTAATATTCATTTTCCCTGTCTTCTCTCCAACTGGATTCTGGGTAAAAAGGATTATTGACATTGATATCGATTACTCCATAACTTATAAATCAATAATAAAAATAACTGTGTTTAACATATTTTTGCCAGATCCTCCTTTAAAAGCTTTGTGTGTACTAACTCTTTTCATCCTCACAACAGTCTTTTGAGGTAGGTTGTAGTTAATTTCTACTTTACAGATGACTCATATGGAGCACAGGGAGGTAAATTATACCGCCTAAATTCACAAAGCGGATAGATGGCAAAGCTGAGATTTGAAACCAATCAGTTTTGTTTCAGAATGGCCTGCCTAACCATTTTGCATACCGCTTCCCTAATTTTGACAAGTAACATTCGCGGGGCACTTAGATAGGAGGACAATATGTCTGCAGAATCTGTCACTTCAGCGATCCCTGTGATCACTTGGTTAGTCAGAACATGATGTCTTCTTGATCCATCACAGCTCCGTGTCTGTCTCTCTAACCTTGGGTTTAAAAAAAGATGTCCTTTCCAGACAAAGAGGCATCATTCTAAGATCAAGGATATAGTGTCTGTATTTAATTAAAGATGACCACAAATTGTTTGCTACTTCCCCCATTGAGACATGGAATCTAATTCTCCTCCCTTTAATATGGGCTACACTTAGAGACTTACTTGACTAATAGAATACAGCAGAAGAGATGTCTGACTGCCAAGGCTAGGTAA